ATCACAGAAGAAAAAGCTATGTCAGGGGAGTGATATGGTTCATTTCATTGATTTGATTCCTAATTATTCCAAAGAGAAAACTGTGGGATGATGGAGGGTGGTTGAAGGGGAGATGTAGGCATGAGAGTAGAACATAAAGAGAAAGTAATATTGAGGCTTGAGACTAATCTGTTAAAAAATACATCTTAAGTGCATACATAATCCCATATAATTTTCTTCTGTTGGGAATTTTTTAAAGTTTGTAAATATCTTTTACTTTTAAACATGCTTAATATCTCATTATAACAAACTACAATTTAATAACAATTCAAATTGCAAAAACGAAATCATATACTTTATGGTAAAGAAATAAAAGCCAGCCCAGCCAGTGTGGCTCAGTGGTTGAGAGTCCATCCATGCACCAAGAGGCCACCAGTTCAATTCCCAGTTAGGGCACATGTCCAGGGTTTCGTACTCAATCCCTGGTGAGGGGCATGCAAGAGGCAGCTGTTCTATGTTTCTCTCTCATTGATGTTTCTATTTCTTTCTTCCTCTCCCTTCCTCTCCCTCTAAAAATCAATAAAAGTATTTTTTTAAAAGAAATATAAGCAGAAAATCTTTAAAAGGAAATCTTGTATTGGTCCTCTAAATGCTACACTCACTATACTACTATTGACAACAGAAGACAAAATAGGTATCTCAGCTGAAAAGTACCAAAGGGCCAGTATAATAGTAACATTTTTGGTTTCAGAGTTGTTCAAAATCTTAGTTTTGTTTTCATTTTTAGAAAATAAATTTATTTACATACTTATATTTACTCTTATGATTATAAATGGAGACTCTTATTTTTTATAAATGTGCTAAAATATGATTTACCATTTAATTAAACCAAGAGATTTACTAAATGCAGTTTTTACTGAATCAAAAATAACAATTAAAATGGTAATGGTTCACTCCTGGGGGTCGACAACAACAAAAAAAAGACATTGTGCCCTAACCGGTTTGGCTCAGTGGATAGAGCGTCGGCCTGTGGACTGAGGGGTCCCGGGTTCGATTCTGGTCAAGGGCATGTACCTTGGTTGCGGGCATGTCCCCAGTGGGGGGTGTGCAGGAGGCAGCTGATCCATGTTTCTCTCTCATCGATGTTTCTGGCTCTCTATCCCTCTCCCTTCCTCTCTGTAAAAAATCAATAAAATATATATATTTTTTTAAAAGACATTGTAAAAGATACATAAAAATATTCCAGCATGTCTCATAAAACTGTTTAATTTATAGCATTAACCCCTTAAGTATGGTAAATACCTCACTATTCTCTTACAGATATTATCATTCCTTTCAAAGAATCTATTTTTTTATTTTATCAGCATTGAGATTCTATTTACATAATGAAGAGCAATGGAGAACACACAGCTCAATCACTATCCTGAGAAACTAAATATTCTAATGATTTTAATATACACATTACCAATTTGTAGCCTATAATTTGAAGAATGTGAATGGTGAGATGTCTAAATAAAGTACCAGAGACAAAAAACAACAACAAAAAACTGCTTCATATTCAAAGGCACAACGTGAATTTAGATCAGCTGGACTCACTGCTCTATATTTCAGGAGACAGAGGTTAATAAGTGACCTTGGGATCCTTGCTCTACAGATGTCTCAAGGGTCTATTTCTTTATTGAAAGTACCTCTACTTTTGATAAATATCTATGCTACTACATAAGTGATATCTTTGCCCATATAAGACTCTACTTGAAGCTTTTTTGATACTTAAGACTGTATATATTACAATGAAAAAATTTAAGAACATGCAACATGCACAAAGGGTCAAGATATACTCCTTCCCTTCTGATGCACTGCACAAGAAGGTTAAGAAACTACTATCACACACTCTAAGTTTGGGACATATTTTCAAGAGATTTTAAATGAGAAATTCAACAAACCTTAAACATTAAACTTTCCATTATTTCAGATCACGAAAAGATTTTTTAACTAATTTGTAATACACAATATATATACTCCACAAACAACTATGTACAGATATATGCCATATCAATTCCCTTACTATTTTCAATAAAAATGTATGATTCACCCTGGCCAGTGTTGCTCCATGATTAGAACACTAGCACTTGCACCAAAGGGTCATAGTTTCAATTCCCACACAAGGGCTGATATCTAGGTTGCAGGTTCAATCCCCGCCCAGGTCAGGGGCACATGTGGGAGGGGACTAATCAATGTGTCTCTCTTACATCAATGTTTCTCTTTCTTTCTCTTTCCCCCTCCCTCCTTTCCAGTCTCTCTAAAAAAATAAAAATAAAAATAAATGTATGTTTATTCTTGTCATAAAAATCTGATTTGGGGTATTTTAAAAGTTCAAACATATTAAGCTATGCTTTGCTTTGGCACTAGCTCCCCCTCCAGACCAACCTACTAATAAACTGCACTTTGAAAAAAATAAACAAGGAACACACGTTTTTCCAAACCACTAGCAAATTTCAAAATTCACCACATTTAAATACATTCCAATTCCTTAAAATAAGTAGTTAAAATTTGTATCCAAACATTTCAGAATATAATCAGAATTATTTTTTCAATCCTATACATCTCAAGCAGAACTGACTTGTAGGAAAACAACTTCAAGTGACTCTTAAAATTTAAGAAGATCCTAAAATAAATCTATGTAGTGGTAGGTTTTATGGAAATTATTTGAACCACTATCCCAATAAACCACAATATATTCTTCATGTGAGATCAATACTTGATCAAAGATACATTTTAGCATGTTTCTGCAGTCTATGCAAGTTTCATTCCAGCTGTTCAGCTCTTCAATTCAAGTAGAATTCTCAATTTATAATGCAGCAAAAAGAAAATCCATGCTTCCAAACTACCCTTCTATTTTCCTTCTACTCATTTCTAACTCCCTACATTTTTAAATACTAAACTATAAAATCACAATTCAAATGTTTGAATTCCCACCTATTCTTACTATTGTATTTATAAATCAAGTAACCAAGACTTTCTATACACATTTTATAGTGTATTTCACAAGGCTAGCAACTTACAGGGCCTTGTTATTTTGGCATAACATGTTAGGTTGTTTTTAACTTGAAGGGAGAATACAACTTACACCATTATTTCAGTGTAGCACTGTGGTGCTTAAATAATTTCTCTCCTAAAAAGATTTCTATATGATGCACCCTTTAAAAGAATTATGCATAAAAACATAAAATTTAAGTTAAGAAAATAAAAATGCACTTAACCCCAGAATAACAAGGAAAATAAAAAACTAGTATAATGAAACCTTTCCTACAGTTTCTAAAGAGAGCCAAGCCAAAGTTCAGTCAATTACCTGTGATAAGTTTAAAATGCAGGAAGTAGATTGACACCTCTCCCTGCCTTTATCCAAGGCCTCAATCAAAAAGCTAATATGGAGACGGAGAGCTGCTCTTGCCACCACCAACATGGAGACTTTGTACTGACCCCCATTCTTAGTGCTGGAATGACCAACCTGAAGCTGAAGAAGCCATCCTGTATGCACATGTCCTCGGCCATGACAATGTACACTCTAGTGGTAGTGTCTGACTTCCTCATCAGCAGAGAAATAATTTATTATGTTATCGTTGAACTGCTGAGTGTTGGCTCTATGACTGAGGAACATGGCATTAGAGACCAGTAGCTTTCTTGGCCTACAGAGTAAATGGACAATATATTATGGAAGGACTCGAATCCTGTTTACAATGGGAGGGTTAGGTTTCATAAACCTAGACCAATCCAAATGCACCAAACATTCCAAAACTCAATAGATGTCTTCTTCTATTCATTGGATTCGCCTGTGTCTTATTGAGTTTCTTTTCACGGACAGAGTATTCGTGAGAATGCAACTGCCTGGCTATCTGATGGGTTAGAGTGCCTTTTGAGAAGAATTGTGGATAATGGATTTGTTCCTGTTAATGAAGTTTTAAAGACTCTATCAATCCTCTGATATGAAATATGGGGAAAAAATGAAAAGCAGCAGAAAACATAGGAAGCATATTAAAGCTCGGATTAGAATTATCTTCTTGGTATCAAACAAGACAAGCTTATCAGTGTTTTTTCCTGCCGACCTATACTGACACACCATTGATGTTAAGTCTCCGTTTTTAATTTTTAAAGAAAATATACTCCCATTTCTACAACTAAAATAAATAAATAAATAAATAAGCGAGCTAATATATGGCAAAACGCTAAAAGCTCACCAGGGATGACTAACCACGACCCTGTCATTGAACTTTAGAGATGCACTGCGTCCCTGGCGTCCCGTGTTCCTAAAGATTGCAGTCCCCTCTGTGAGAGAACAGGTGCCGCGACCTACCATCTATTCGCTCTCGCAGGACAAACCTCCTTTAACTAATAAAGACTCACTTCACCTCCCAAGTAAGTTTAGATACTCAAAAGCCACCAGCTCACCATTTCCACATCAAGGGGGTGGAGGGTGCAGGGGCGCTCGTGCCCTTAAGTGCCCGGGCACTGCCCCCTCGCTGGGAGTGGGTCAGTGTGCAGGTCCCCTCACTCCCAGGTTTCTAGCCCAGGAACCCCTCTCACAAGCCCGTGAGGCACAGGCATCCTCCTCCTCGCAGTCGGTGACTACAGGGACAGAGCTGCTGGCGAAAGGGCAGGTAGGTGTGCAGAAGAGGGACACCTCCTCCCCCGCCCCCCATCTCTCCTCCTCTCCTCGGCTCGAGCCCTGCCGGACCCAAGGATGCGCGACCGGACCGGGCGGCGGGCGCCCCTCACCCCCTGACCGCGCTCTCCCCGACGCGCCAGGGCACCCGCCGGAGCGTCCCGGGAGACTCCCCTCCCCACTTTTCCCGGAGCAGCTGGGAGAAGCAGCAGCACTTGCAGCAACAGGCCCGGGGATCGCCTGGAGGAGAAGGAGTCGCGACAGCCTCCAGGCACATCCCCGGAGACTCGTCGGATCCCGCGCTTGCCCAGCCTCAGACCCCGAGAGCGCGCGGGAGCCCGGCCCCCAGACGCCCCCTTACCCGAGGCGGGAGCAGAGGCGGTCTCCGCTGTTCCCGGGTCGCCGCCGCCACAGCCGCAGCCGCAGCTGCCCTCCGCGAGGGGAGTGGGAGAGGTGGCTGGGTGGAGGATGCTACTACCGACTGAAGGGAGAGGAAGAAACGGAAACAGGAACCACCCCGCCGCTTAACGGAGCCTCCGGCGCCAGTGACTGAGGGAGAGCGCGAGGCGGCGCGAGCTGGACAGTCGCTGACAGCGCGAGACCGAGCGCGAGCCGGGTCTCGGGCGCGCGACCCCGAGCAGCGCCGGCCCCATTCCGCGGGGAGAGGAAGGAGACGGGCGGCCTGGGGGCTGGGAGGGGGCGGCGAGGGGCGGGGGCCTGGAGCGGAGGGAACCCGACCACTCCGGTCGGCCGGCGATAACGCGCGCACGCGCCGGAGCGGCTCTGACAACGAGAGCGGGCGGGGAAACCCAGGATAGCGCAAGCGTGAGCGCGCGGAAGGGGGCGCGCGCCCCTCAGCGTTCCCGGCCCGTGGGAGAGGGCGCGCATGCGCCGGCCCCTGCCACCTACGGCGACCCAGGCATGTGCCAGGGCTTCTCCCCGCCCCCTCTTGGCTGCGCCCTTGGATCGCTCGCCGCAGCATCCTGGGGCAGGAGCGCCCCGGGCCACAGCGGGACCGGGAGAGCTCTGGCAGTGCAGCCGCTGCGCGCGCGGGTGCCGGCTCCAACGCGAGCGTAGGCCGCCCTCTACCGCTGGAAGGCCGGAGGCTGAGGGGGGCGCGAGACCAGCCGGCTTCGCATTCCCGGGAGCGCCACCTCCAGGGAATCCCGCATTTTCGACCGCTGGGACGGACTGGCCCGCGCCAGTTCAGCCGCGGCCCCAAGGAGCACCTGGTACTGGAGATTGGGAACAGACTCTCTGCCACTTGTTAGGCATGATCGCTGCTGCCCGGCTGCAGCTTGCAACGCGAACATAGGCTGGCACGCACCCACAACCGACTGGCGAAGCCCTACTTTCTCGTGTGAGCTATGTTTCCACACTCGCCGGATGTAACGATCCCCCACGAGGGCCTGAATTCGATGTCTGGCCTCTCCCCCGACCCGCGGCTGCGACTACCCTCAATGAGGCGGAAGTTTATTCAGTACGGGAAAGAGAACACGGAACGGAGGAGTGGGGGCTTTTTCTCAGGATGCTTCCTACCCGCTCGGACTCGGGAAATTCCTGCCGCCCGCGATGCAGAGCAGTGGGCCGAAGAGCTAGTTCACACCAGCCCAGACGGCGAGCTGAGACCCAGGACCTGAGCGCGCTGGCGGGGCACACAAAGTAGTCGCGAGCCGAGGCGGGGGCACGGTGGCCAATCAGAACCGCGAGCTGCGTGAGTGGAGTGCGAGCCGACCAATCAGAAGGCGAGAAGATGAGCTTCCTTTACCGAACTCTTCCCGGTGCCTCCGGACCCAGATCCCAAGCCTGAGGTGCAGTGCTGCGGAAAAGCGAAATGATGCCCTAAAACACAGAAGAATTCTTCCTCTAGACGTGGGTGTTTTGAAGTAAATGCCTTGGGTACATATCCTAGAGCAAATAGCGGCGGCCTTTTAGATGCTGAGTGTGAAAAGGATCGCAGAGAAGAGATTTAAGAGGTAGTGGACTGCCAAGACTGTTATCTGCCTCATAACGTTCATAAACATACAGTATTTACGGAGTCATTTCTAAAGGCCAGGAACTGTACTCCCAAAACACAAATAAGATACTGCTGATTCAAAGGAGAAAAAAGTTCCCTATCCCTCTGTAAACTTACCTTCTGAGGGAGGTTTGTGAGACCTTGTGACTAGTATTTATTGGCAGCCCTTTAAAATAAAAGCTCTCCACGAAGTAGTTTACAGTTATTTTTATTATGAGCTCCCTGTAAGAAGGGAACATTAAGAAAAAAGTAGAGTGACTAGTCTAAGGTCAAAAAATACACTGGCAGAGCCCGAATTGTGTCCCAGCTCAGCTTAGTCATCGTTCAACAATCATTTACTGAATGTGTGGGTACTCTCCTCCACTGAAGCCGTCTCTGCACTAAGCTTGTACTAGTAAACAGAGCAAAAATCCGCTAGAAGGGTTGCAGGCTATGGTGGTTGGAAAGGAACAGAAATTTTAGGCTTATGCCATAGCAAGATGGATTAAAGGCCAAAGTCTTATCAGTCGTGCTCTAGATAATTTTTTGAAGTCAGAAGTGAGGCAAATACTCACTTTTTAGTTTAACAGCATTTTTTGAAGTATTTTAGCAAGCATGTTTAAAGCTTACCTTGTACAATACTTCAAGATCTCCAAGTTCAAAGCTTTACATTTGCCTGAAAACATCGATTTTTTTTTTAATCTGGCCTTCATTTTTTTCTTTCCAGAAACCTAGGGATTAAAATAATTATCTTCTCAAACTCCTGCTCAAAAAGAAAAAAAAAAGAGAAATATCTACCCAAGGGATGTTTGTTCAAGATTTAGTGCATTTTTATAGTGCAGTATAATATATATTAAAATACCAAATAACTAGTGTCTCTAGCATATATTCAGAAACTAGACCTTAAGCGATTTCAGTTATGCTCTGTTGAGTTAATGTGCTTCTCAGCCTGTGATAGAACACTGTTATCAAAGCCCTTTTCAGGACATGCCTAGGATTTAGCTACCACCTCATAACTGGAAGTATTAGTTAAATAACTGACTTTTGAGAACAAACTACACATTAAGTCCCAGGCCAATAATGAATTTACAAAAAATTCACAACAGTCCTTGCTTTTAAAAAACACATTTCTCTTATTGTCTCCAGAGAGGAATGTTACTAAAACTCTGCCTTTCTCTTAACAGGTTAAATTTCTGACAGAAAGTATCCCCCAAAGGTTCTATCTACATCACTGGCCACCAGAACACATCTCTGTTAAAGTATGTTTTCTCACAAGCTCCAGTCTCTTTGTTGCTGGGCCCTCTCACTCTCTCTTCTCACCCCAGCTGTCTGTCTGTGCCTCACATCACTCCTAGTTTCAGGTATTTGCTTAAGAAAGTAGAATTGTTCCACCACTTCCTCCACCACCACCCCCTCTCACCAACTAGGCTCAAGACCTATTTTAGCTGATGCAAAAACTTATAAAGTTCTGCTCAGCGAAACACTGTGAAGAATATTCTTTATGACATTATACTGAGAACTAATAGAAACTTCTAAATACATCGTATTCTTTTACACAGCCTGCATCAAATTCTTAGTCATCAACCAGAGCTGTGCAGGTCTTGTGGGTGGAACAAGAAGGAGTCAACCATTAGACAACGGAAACTATCAAAATGAAAGGGAGTACCTGAGTAGCCATTTTATTGAGATCAAAATTAATGAACACTACCACATTTCCAAAGTTGTGAACACCCAAAGGACAGCACTGTTATTGCTACATACAAAAAGGTGTGAACTTGAGAAAATTATTTTACCCATTTGGCTCTTAGTTTTCTCATCTGTAAAATGAAGGGATTGGACTAGATAAATTTTAGTTGTTTGCCAGTCCTAAGCTATAAATCTAGCTTGCTTGACAGTAACTAACAATGAATAATGGAAAAACAGCCTATATTTTCAAATTCAATAAATGTTTTAAGCCACTTTTGAGCCATCTCCTTAAGTTGAAATTGTCTATTTACACCAAGCATGTCAAACTTAAAGGCTAACACGAGCCAAATAAACAAGGTTTAAGTGTATGTGGGCCACAAAAACACAATAGCTTCAATTTTCATAGAAACATAGGTTTATTTTGATAGAGACATGCTGAATACAAAGGGCTGAAATGAGTAATCGTTAACATAAAATAATATAACATTTTAATAAAAATTAATATTTTTTCTTGAACATTAACTTACCAGACACTGAATCACTGCACAAATTAATAAGCATAATGCAAATAAACCTATTTTTCTTGTTCTCCAAAAGCGAAATATTCCCTGTTGCACACACCAAATAAGTCAGTACAAGACTAATGACCTGGCAATTGACTGCTAAAATATCCACTGCTAGTATTAGTGGAGAGAAATGGTGCGCCTGCACATAAGGCGTGTAATGGAAATGAATGCAACATGGTTATAATAATCAGTCATTAGCGAAAGTTGTAATTCGTTATTAATAATTACGTATAACAGGATATTGTAAAAATTAAGTTATGAAATTTTTATTAAAACATTTCTTACATACCGTTATATTGGCTGGGCCACAAAAATATTCATTGTGGGCCGCATGTGGCCCACGGGCTGAGAGTTTGACATGCTTGATCTACACCCATTCATTAAACAGCCAGAGCCAATCATTCCAATCAGAAGAATAAATGATTGATTTAGAGCAGTGGTTCTCAACCTTCCTAATGCCGCGACCCTTTAATACAGTTCCTCATGTTGTGGTGACCCCCAACCATAAAATTATTTTCGTTGCTACTTCATAACTGTAATGTTGCTACTGTTATGAATCGTAATGTAAATATCTGATATGCAGGATGTATTTTCATTGTTACAAATTGAACATAATTAAAGCATAGTGATTAATCACAAAAACAATATGTAATTATATATGTGTTTTCTGATGGTCTTAGGCGACCCCTGTGAAAGGGTCGTTCGACCCCCAAAGGGGGTCTCGACCCACAGGTTAAGAACCGCTGATTTAGAGGCTGATGAAACTAGACAAACTATCCCTCCCTGTAACTTGCCTCCATGGCTGAAATTTCTCTCTTCTCCTTTGGGATCAAGTATCATATAGTTCACACTATTGATTTCTTATTCAACATCCACTCCTAAATTTTCCTTATTGAGTTGCTTGTTTTGTTTTTGTTTGTTTTTTAGGTAACTATCCAACCTCCAGCTACAAAAGGGCAACTCAATTAGCCTGAGTCAATCAGTAAATGAATTCCCTGGTATGATAGAGACTTGTAATGCTTACCCTGTCACATGTCACATTTTCACATGTACATCCCTGCCACCCCTCCCCCCTTGTTCTTGGCTGGGCCATGTAACTAGTTATAGTCACTAGTCTGTAGTGGGTTGAGGGTAGAGGCAATATGTGTTACTTCCAGGTAGAACATTTAATTGCAAGTATAAGTTATTACAGTGTTTACTCTGCCACAGCCTCAAGACCAATATTGTTGAAGATGATAAAGCTTTTGTCAGCCTAGGTGCCCAAGAAAGGATAATGTAGAACAGCCCACCTCTCACTCTCATCAAGTCAGGATGGTTGGTTTGAGTAATAAATACATCTTTGTTGTTTAAGGATTTTTTTTCTTTTCATTTTTTTTTTCTTTTTACTGCAGTATGACCTAGAAAATAAGTT